TCCTCTTTCTATGAATACTATTTGATATTGACCGTTTTCTAACTTGTCTCTAATGTATCTTGATTAAATATAATAGTCAGCCCTTGACCAGCCTCTCTCAGTAACTCTGACAATGAATGTTTCTGTTTTAGATGGGTGAATTTACCATGTTGTGCTTGTGTCATGACCAAAATACGACTTTGAATCTACATATGTAATTTAGTTTCTTGAAATAGTTAAGGCTGCAGCTTTCTGAATTTTCAGTATTCTTCTCGGTTCCTTCTAAAATTATTTTATGTAGTTAATAATCACCTCTTCAATATTATGTGATATGCAATAATAATTATTGTGTTATCTTTAGTACACTATCAGTACATGAAGCAGCCTTGAAGCTACACTTGAGAAAAGGTGATCATTGCTGCAATGTCCACAACAATAGTCTGTGCTGCAATTTATATCACGCAAGTCATTTGACCATTCCTCAGAATGCCAAATCATGCATCATTCTACCATGAGGAATTTATAGATGCATGATTTATTTTAGAGTTCTTCCTAGGTTAGTTACCCTGCTCCCATGTATTGAATAATTTCCCTTGTTATTGATCTTTGATGTTCAAACCTTGGGCCATCAACCTTATCCCAGAACTTTTGCTGTCTTTCTCAAGTTTTTGGATCTTCGGTCTCTGCTTCCATATGTCATTTGTTCCCAACCCTAGCTCTTCTTACATCATCTCCTTGTACAGATTAGATTTTCTCTACTTCTGGATTCCACAACATCAACTAAGACTAGTTTGTTGTTTATGGCATTAGATAAAGTACTATGCACTGTATTAGCCTATAACTATGTAGTCATTCACTGCCAAAATTATGTAGATGCCTTTTATTTTTATTTGTTTTGCAAAATATTTTTTTCCTTTAAAGCTTAACTTACCCTTAATGAATCCCAGCTTGTAGATGGGCAGGTTTCTTTGCAGGAACCCATTCCACCCATTTCATGTCTGCAATTATCCTGAAAATGGCAGCTTCTAACCCTCCTTCCAAACAGTGAATTAAGCTTCAATGATCATAGACCATTTCTATAGCCAGGTAGAGGAAGAAATGTATAAATCCTTCCATATGTCTCACAGGCATCGTAGCATGAACATTCAGAGATGGCTATTACACATTTAAAATACATATATTTAAGAAATATAAAATGTAACTGTAATTACTGTATTTTCATTATCCCAATTTTTTTTTATAAAACGTAAGTGGGTACACAAAAAATGAAAATAAAAATTGTGTATGTTTGCATTGTTTTCATTTTTGTTTCTATGAACAGGAATGTATACATAATATTGTTGCTTTATGATGTGCTAACTGTGCAATCTATTTTTAAACAAATGGTATGCTAAGATTTTTACAAAGAAAAAATTATTGGTGTTGAAGGGGTTAGCTGCAGCATTAATAGTTTTATGATTGAAGCTATCACTCACCAGAGTGACTGTGAGACAATAGAGTATTCTTGCTGTGATCTGTGGGGGGTGGAGGAGGCTAATTTGTGTGTCAGAACATTAATTAGATTATTCACCAATATGTCTGTCATAATTCCTGTGACTGAAAATGAAATGAATTTCTATATTATTGCCTTCAGCTACGTTTTGTTCTTTTGTGATAGATCTTCAAGTAAAAGATAAAAAAAAATGCGATCCTATATTTTTCAATATGCTGAATATTCCCATTTTTGGATATTGAATATTAGCTAGAACTCTTAAATTATTAACTGTGGGGTTAGAATGCACAGTTTCATCTACTATTATCCATAAGGTTAACATTAGTGATGTACCGAACGGTTCGCCGGCGAACGGTTCCTGGCGAACATAGCATGTTCGCGTTCGCCACGGCGGGCGAACATATGCGCGGTTCGACGCGCCCCCTATTCGTCATCATTGAGTAAACTTTGACCCTGTACCTCACAGTCAGCAGACACATTCCAGCCAATTAGCAGCACAGCCTCCCTAGCAGACCCTCCCACCTACTGGACAGCATCCATTTTAGATTCATTCTCAAGCTGCATGCTTAGTAAGAGGAGGGAAAGTGTAGCTGCTGTTCATAAGATAGGGAAAAGCATAGCTAGGTTAGGGATAAGGGTATGCTTTTTTTTGATTTTTTTTTTTCTATGTAATGTAAATGCACTTAGTTGTCTGCCACTGCTGCCAGCTTCTGTGTCAGGCTCACAGTGCATACTGTGCCCATTTCCCCAGTCAGTACCACCAATTACATCTGCTGTCACAATAGCTTGGATTTAAAAACAAAAAACTCTTTTCACTGTTATAGATTAAATAGCAGTCAGTGTCCTTAAAGCGGGTGTGTTACGCTAACAGTGAATACGGTGACCAGTGCCACCACTTATATCTGGTGTCACAATAGCTTGGATTTAAAAACAAAAAACTTTTTTCACGGTTATAGATTGAATAGCAGTCAGTGTCCTTGTGCTGGTGTGTGTTATTAACAGTG